GTGGTCAAATAAAATACCAGCGGAAAAATTAAAAAAATACGTGACCTCTTTGGGTAATAACATGAGCCCGCGATACAGTCAGGTGGTGATAGTCAGCAGATGATAGTCAGAGTGTGAGTAAGACATTTCAGTCCGGCTTGTAGTGGGGATTTGTGGGGGCGAAATGCCAGATAGTTTACTTGAGCCCACGTTATTAGTGGTCTGATAGTGGTCTGCACATGTTTCAGTTTGACAGCTGTCAATTGAAATTAATTTGGCTAGCGCACATAACTTTAAACTACTGGCAGCCGACTGACAGCCCTGCCCGGTGAAAGCTTAGTTTCATTTTTATGTTTGTAAGTGTGACATATTTTATTTATAGTCAAAACGACTTGTCTTTCATCTGAGCCTGCGAGATGATCATCTGATAACTGTCAGCGGATGTCTGATTTCGACAGCTGTCAATTCATTCTCATACGGATGGCTTACATAGTTGGTAGGCTTGTGTCAATTTGTGCAAGTTCTAATGTGACATTCGGCATCAGCTTACATGAGGTGTACGTATGGGCGGCGGGCGGGCGTACTCTACGTCATAACAAAACTTTCCCGGATGGATAGTTTACCAAATTTCCTTACCCGTGGTGCTCCGCTGCGCTCGCTTCGCCCGCGAGAGAGCACCGCTAAAATAAGGTGGACACTGGAAATTTAGAAACTTCTGATGAAGTGTTACCTGCCGTCAAAACTCCATCTTACATTTGACCTTTATAGTTCCCTTTGAAAATCAGCTCCAAGTTCAAGAGTTGTCAAGAAAGAGACTCTGAGCCCCTAGGGCCACCTACGGGTTTTACATCCCCATCATGACATTCTTCAGAACAATGGCATTAGTGTTAGTCATTGGCTGGAAACGGCTTTAACCTCTGATCGGATCATTTTGGATCAATATGGAACTATACAGACAATACATTTGTGAACCGAATTAGGTTTCAGTTTTAGTGATTAATTAAATAGCTTAGTTACGAATTCAGAGAGGATAGGTAACTAATTTTGGAATCTCTGACTAATCCTGTTAGGGTTCCACAAAAAAGCAAACGTAGTAACAGTTTGCTCTGCCAATTTCGCTGTTCACCTACTAGTCAAAATTTTGGCATGCGCCAAATGAACAGAAATTCAGCCTAATTATACCTACAATAAGCAAGAAAATGTTCAAAATCTTTTTAGAACCTTATTCCGTATCCCAAGGGTTAAGAAAGGAAACTTTGGTTTCTAAAGAACAGTTACAAAATTTACATCCTTCATAACATTCTTCAGAACAATGACATCGAGAATTGTTAGTCATGCTCCAACAGCTACAAGAACGAGATAATTTTCTTAGTGATACCACAGGCGGCCCCGACGTAGTATGTGTCACTGAATGAATATATTAATATTCACATGGACAAATTAATGCAATGAGTCGTCGAAACTCCAATGAACTAAAATAGTCCAAAAATTAAAATATAACAAAATAAAGCTAAGATACCTTTAACTGAACGTATCCTTACCTTTCCTGGCCGGTTTAAGTGGCATTTTGTTGAGTTTTGCAATTTTAGGTACTATCCACTATAGAAGAATTAAAAGCTGGCTACAAAACAAACAGACCATCTCCACGCGCCTTCACACGAAGCGCTATAAATTCGAGAATAATCGACGAATCCGCTCCAAATAACCATCGGCTAATCTGCAGGTAACGTGTGCTCCTGCTTCTGGCTCGCTTGCTCCACAAAACCCATCGTAACTGCACAATAATTGCTCGCTCATCAACAACGACTGTTGACCTTTACGCTTCGATATGACCGCAAACGACCAGGTATAATACGCGACGTGAATATTCAAGCTTAGCGACCGCCTCCGCGCGACAATGCAACACTTGCAATGGGAGGGATGGTACAATTGTTCAAGGTCAATCAACACTGAGCGAGGGTCCGCTGCGTTAGTTTTGACCAGAAAGCAAAAGGCGATCGCGGGACCGTCCGTAAGTTTTCAACAGGGCAGCCATGGTTTTCAAGTTCGAATTCTTCTAACGTTCGCTGTCTCAGATGCTGTCACATTGTTCGTCCAGCCGCTTGCATAGGTTCTTGACTCTACCAGACTTATTTGCTTAGATTAACAACGTCTTACTCCATGATATGTTGTCCAAACTGGTGAAAGAGGACGAGAATTTTCCGCCCAGGAAAAAGGCAAAATCTGGCCCCCGCTATGCAGCTGAATAGAAGATACAGCTGAAGATATCGTAAAGTAAAATTTATGGGCGCGATATCTTTTAATATATAGATTTAGCCAGGGCTAAAAGCGAAGCTCCCGTCAGTAAATTCATAATTTAAATCAAACAATAAACTTGTAATCCGCAGATCAGGGCACATTCATTTGACGTTTGAGGCAAAGGCTAAGTGATTTTAGAGAAAAATAATTTGACAGTCCAAGAGTGAAACAGCTTTTACATCGAGTTATTAAATAGTCTTATTTGTACACCCAAAAATAGCAATCATGTTCGATCACAGTAGATTAGGCCTGGAAAACAAATAGACCTACCTATTCGTGTATTGTATTTGCATTAGCTGTTGAATCATAATGTGGCATTCACCACTCTCTCCAACATTGCTCCGTTTGAGAGACTATGGATAATTGGACAACCCCGAAATATAATTTTAAGAAACACAGGCGCCACGATAGTCCTTGGTGGCAGCCAATTTACACGTTGCATTCCTCTGTCTAAAAGAGAGGCCAAAATAAAAAATCAGGCCGGATTTTTTGTGTTCGACAAGTTTAGTTTACTAGTAAATCTTGGCGACGAATCTGGTGGCGTGTAAACCAGCCTTTTAAACATACTTTTTTTCATCACGTCTCAGGTAAACAGTACTATGAGGCCCTTGTTTTTATCATACAGACCTCGGACAGAATCTGTTCTTTTTTGCCCTATTTAAACCTATAATTCTGCAGTTTTTCACAATTTTGCAAGAGAATTTGCACTCATTCAATATCCACGACGATCAAAGCACGCGCTTCCTTTGCGCAACAAATTATAGCATTGAATTATAAAACGTTTTCATGAAGAGAATTCTAAAATGCCAGGATTTTCAGTTAGAAAAATCTGGTCCTATGTGATATGCAGGGTGGGCTTTTAATGAAAACGATAAAAAAATTCCCAAAATCACTTTTCGGCCAGCCGGACGGGGCTCACTTTTGACAGGCACTAAATTTGCAGTGCGATTAATAGAGTTACCATTTACGCTTCAACATGATAGATAAATTGTATGTTTAGGTTTTATTTCCCTTTATTTATTAAACTGCGTACGGTTTTGTTATGTGTAATCTTTAAAAGCGAGTGATATTTACGCGCGGCGTTTTGAGTATTCCTGCATGAGATGTTTATGTTCGACTGGATACAACCGGTGCAGCGATAAAAATTGCGAGAGGGACTACTAACAATCAATAAAATAAATATAATTCGGTGAAACATGTACAGAGACAATAATTTTCATTCACGAAGAGAAGTATTGAGAGAAAAGTGTCTTTGAAAATCATGAGTCAGGTAAGCACAAGCTTATTTATGTTTTAAGCCGGCTTCCCGGTTTTTGCTCTTTTTCAAGATGAACTCGAGGCAAGAAAATCGCTCAGGGCTTTCTTTTTACAGCCAAAATCATAAGTAAATAATCTTCGGAACAATTTCTTTGAATTTGCGGTCAAAAAATGTCTAAAGGCTTTTTAAACCTGATACTATTGTAGGTTAGATCATTGCTCGTATATAAACTTAAGCCGCATAAACCATACGCTCGACTTCAGGAAACCGAAAAAAAAAAACACATCAAAGACAACAATTTCTCAGGCTTACCAGTCGAGATGCTGCTTCTGAAGGTCATCAAGTGTTCCAGAATTTTCAACCCTCATACGCCTCAAGCAAGGGCAAGTGAGTAGGCTCATTTTTGAAAACGATGCCATCCGAAATCGGATTTCCAATGACTTTGACAAGCGGTGCATTTGTCAACAAAGAGCGCAATAAACAAACTAGCCATGAATTACAGAACAATCTTGATAGCAGCTGTATTTCATTTTGTAAACCAAGTAGAAAAAGCCAGTTTAAAACATCACAAGATGACACAAAACTCTGTAAGCTCCAGCTATCAATAAGCAAGTTTCCAGACGCTGCATAAATTTTCCGCATGAACTCACCTGTCAAATTTTGACCAATCAGAACATAAAAATTGGACGTAGAGCGTGATCAACGCGTGACAAAGAGAAAAGTCAAAAGTGATTGCCTTCCCCGCAGGTAAATGTAAAAGCCGGTTGAATTTTCGCGTCCGAGGTCAGTTCAAAATCAACATTTTAAAAGTGCGGCTTATGAACTCGACTTATTTCATATGCTTTTAAAAAAAATTGAACTTGAGCCTGCGATAATTGAAAAGTAGCAACCTGTCAGCGGATACGTTAAAAAGGTAGGTACTTTAAGTAGGGTTATTAAAGTGTATCAAGAATGCATTTAAAATAATGTATCTACATGTATACCCATGTAATGTCATGTATAGCCATGTATAGCCATGTATTGCCATGTATAGCCATGTATTGCCAGGTATACCCATGTATATACATGTATTGCCATGTATTGCCATGTATACCCATGTATTGCCATGTATACCCATGTATAGCCATGTATACCCCTGTATAGCCATGTATTGCCATGTATTGCCATGTATACCCATGTAATGTCATGTATAGCCATGTATAGCCATGTATTGCCATGTATAGCCATGTATTACCACGTATACCCATCTATAGCCATGTATAACCATGTATTGCCATGTATACCCATGTATAGCCATGTATACCCATATATAACCATGTATTGCCATGTATTACCATGTATTGCCATGTATTACCATGTATACCCATGTATAGCCATGTATACCCATATATAGCCATTTATTGCCATGTATTACCATGTATTGCCATGTATTACCATGTATCACCATGTATTACCGTGTATAGCCATGTATAGCCATGTATTGCCATGTATAGCCATGTATTGCCATGTATTGCCATGTATAGCCATGTATTGCCATGTATACCCATGTATAGCCATGTATTGCCATGTATTACCATGTATCACCATGTATTACCATGTATTGCCATGTATTACCATGTATCACCATGTATTACCATGTATAGCCATGTATAGCCATGTATTGCCATGTATAGCCATGCATTTCCATGTATTGCCATGTATAGCCATGTATTGCCATGTATACCCATGTATAGCCATGTATTGCCATGTATTGCCATGTATACCCATGTATAGCCATGTATACCCATGTATAGCCATGTATTGCCATGTATTACCATGTATTGCCATGTATTACCATGTATCACCATGTATTACCATGTATAGCCATGTATAGCCATGTATTGCCATGTATAGCCATGTATTGCCATGTATAGCCATGTATAGCCATGTATTACCATGTATACCCATGTATAGCCATGTATTGCCATGTATTACCATGTATCACCATGTATTACCATGTATAGCCATGTATAGCCATGTATTGCCATGTATAGCCATGTATTGCCATGTATACCCATGTATAGCCATGTATACTCATGTATAGCCATGTATTGCCATGTATTACCATGTATAGCCATGTATTACCATGTATCACCATGTATTACCATGTATAGCCATGTATAGCCATGTATTGCCATGTATTGCCATGTATTGCTACGTATACCCATGTATAGCCATGTATACCCATGTATAGCCATGTATTGCCATGTATTACTATGTATTGCCATGTATAGCCATGTATCACCATGTATTACCATGTAAAGCCGTGTATTGCCATGTATAGCCATGTATAGCCATGTATTGCCATGTATAGCCATGTATTGCCATGTATACCCATGTATATACATGTATTGCCATGTATTGCCATGTATACCCATGTATTGCCATGTATACCCATGTATAGCCATGTATACCCCTGTATAGCCATGTATTGCCATGTATTGCCATGTATACCCATGTAATGTCATGTATAGCCATGTATAGCCATGTATTGCCATGTATAGCCATGTATTACCACGTATACCCATGTATAGCCATGTATAACCATGTATTGCCATGTATACCCATGTATAGCCATGTATACCCATATATAACCATGTATTGCCATGTATTACTATGTATTGCCATGTATTACCATGTATCATCATGTATTACCATGTATAGCCATGTATAGCCATGTATAGCCATGTATAGCCATGTATAGCCATGTATTACCATGTATCACCATGTATTACCATGTATTGCCATATATAGCCATGTATAGCCATGTATTGCCATGTATTGCCATGTATTGCCATGTATACCCATGTATAGCCATGTATACCCATGTATACCCATGTATAGCCATGTATACCCATGTACTGCCATGTATTACCATGTATCAGCATGTATTACCATGTATAGCCATGTATAGCCATGTATTGCCATGTATTGCCATGTATAGCCATGTATTGCCATGTATACCCATGTATAGCCATGTATATCCATGTATAGCCATGTATTGCCATGTATTGCCATGTATAGCCATGTATTGCCATGTATACCCATGTATAGCCATGTATACCTCTGTATAGCCATGTATTGCCATGTATTACCATGTATTGCCATGTATTACCATGTATTGCCATATATTACCATGCATAGCCATTTATAGCCATGTACTGCCATGTATAGCCATGTATTACCAGGTATAGCCATGTATAGCCATGTATACCCATGTATAGCCATGTTTACCCATGTATAGCCATGTATACCCATGTAATGCCATGTATTGCCATGTATACCCATGTATAGCCATGTATACGTATGTATAGCTATGTATACCCATGTAATGCCATGTATTGCCATGTATACCCATGCATAGCCATGTATTGCCATGTATAGCCATGTATTGCCATGTATAACCATGTATTGCCATGTATACCCATGTATAGCCATTTATACCCATGTATAGCCATGTATTGGCATGTATTACCATGTATTGCCATGTATTACCATGTATTGCCATGTATTACCCTGTATTGCCATATATTACCATGTATAGCCATGTAATGCCATGTATTGCCATGTATACCCATGTATAGTCAGGTATTACTAGCTATAGCCTTGTATTGCCATGTATACCCATGTATAGCCATGTATACCCATGTATAGCCATGTATTGCCATGTATAGCCATGTATTGCCATGTATACCCATGTATTGCCGTGTATTACCATGTATAGCCATGTATACCCATGTATACCCATGTATAGCCATGTATTGCCATGTATAGCCATGTATAGCCATGTATACCTATGTAATGCCATGTATTGCCATGTATTACCATGTATAGCCATGTATTGCCATGTATTACCATGTATTGCCATGTATTACCATGTATCGCCATGTATTACCACGTAATGCCATGTATAACCATGTATAGCCATGTATAGCCATGTATAGCCATGTATTACCATGTATCACCATGTATTACCATGTATTGCCATGTATCGCCATGTATTACCATGTAATGCCTTGTATTGCCATGTATTACCATGTATAGCCATGTTTACCCATGTAATGCCATGTATTGCCATGTATTACCATGTATTGCCATGTATTGCCATGTATAGCCATGTATACCCATGTATACCCATGTATAGCCATGTATTGCCATGTATAGCCATGTATACCTATGTAATGCCATGTATTGCCTTGTATTACCATGTATAGCCATGTATTGCCATGTATTACCATGTATTGCCATGTATTACCATGTATCGCCATGTATTACCATGTAATGCCATGTATTGCCATGTATTGCCATGTATAGCCATGTTTACCCATGTAATGCCATGTATTGCCATGTATTACCATGTATAGCTATATATAGCCATGTATTGCCATGTATTACCATGTATATTGACATGTATTACCATGTATAGCCATGCATTACCATGTATACCCATGTATTGCCATGTATCACCATGTAGAGCCATGAATACCCATGTATTGCGATGTATTGCCATGTATTACCATGTATAGCCATGTATAGCCATTTATTGCCATGTATTACCATGTATCGACATGTATTACCATGTGCTGCCATGTATCGCTATGTATTACCATGTGTTACTTTGTATTACCATGTTTTGCCATGTATTACTATGTATTACGATGCATTACTATGTTTTGCTATGTATAGCGATGTATTGCCATGTACTGCCATGTATAGCCGTGTACTGTGATGTACAGCCATGTACTCCCAGGTATTACATGTATTGACATGTACTGCGTGTATAGCCATGTATTGCTGCGTAGTGCTATTAATTACTCTGTATTGCTATGTATTGCCATGTGTGGCCATGTATTTACTATGTATGTCTTAAGTTGGATTAAATTCTTTTTTTTGTCTGTTACATAGTTCAGGGGTAGCCCAAGAAAAGGCTTTTTTTCCGAATGAAAATATAGTTTTTGGGGGAGGGCAACGTTCTTTCAGGATTGTAAACGGATACTAGTTGACAAAGATATTCAAGTGCCATTCGTCACTTTAGAAAATACCCTCGTTGAAAGTCAGTTAAGAACTTATTGGTCCCGAAGAGCAGGGATTTCGCCCATAAGGCGAAATTCCGAGGAAGCACTCTATTAGCTCGCCCGTTTATTACGGAAAGTACTTACAGTTGTTATTTATAGTCAGTATACCAGAAAAAAATATCGATTTCTTTTGTAGATAGGGGCCGCAAGGGATAGGGGGTTAACGTTTTCTTTTGTTCGCGCCCGTAGTTAAGACAGAAAATCCCGAAGGACCGCAAATTGGTAGTTTTTTTGGTCATACTTCGTTTACCTTTTGCGTTACGCGTTATCAGTGACATTTTGTGGAGCAGCTGTTTTCAAAGTTTCGCTCGTTAAGCGCAGTTGAAGTTATAAGTTTCGTATAATTGTGTGTATATAAACTTTTGAAGAGTTTGCCAGACATGAGTTCACATATATATTTGATTGGAAACAATTTGCTAGAAAACTCTTTCTCTCCCTTTGAATTCATGCAAACATTAAATTTAATGACAACTGAGTTGCAATATTTGACAAGTCGAAAGATCCAACAGTTATCACTTTAAAAAAAATCTTATCCTTTCTTTCAAGTCTTCTCCTGATGGCTGAGAATAATTGGACAGGTTTGTAGGCGCCCAGCTTCACGAGCTAGATCTACCACCCTTTCAAAATAGGGTACGTCGGTGTAGTTTCGGGTGTAGCCGAATTACATGCAGGAGTACTCAATATAGATAATATCGGTATCGATGAAAATCGTTAGCAATCAAGTCATTTTTTGATTGATAACTCAAAAAGGTGACGAGACGAAGGGATGTCTGAAATGCGAGAACTGAATGTATTTAACCTGAGCTGTTTTTGTTCAACATGAAGAGTTTTAGACAAAATTTTGTGTGTGTAATAGTTTCCACATTTCCCATTTTCTGTTTGTTTATCAGTAGTTACTCGTGGATATGTTTTCTTAGCTGTACTATCTAGCTTAAGCCACGAAACAACCATGATGGACTTACGTTATCAATCGTGAAAATCATGAAAAATCGTCAATATCGATTTGACACAGCAATTTATGTTATCGATTTTCACCGATTCCAGTTATCAATTGGAATTTAATCACTTGATTGCTACCGATTTTTATCGATTGACTGGCTCTTGAATACCAGCAAGAAAAGGAAAATAAGGGATATTTAAAAAATAGCCAAACGTATATTAAGATTTAATGAAAAAGGTACAAAATTGCTTTAACCTGTTCTACCAAATGGAAGCGAAAGAATCACTTCGGTTAAACTATGATATTCAATGGATATCTCGCATGCGTAATTTATAATTTGAAAAGAATAAATCCCTTTTTAGGCTTCCCTCAGCAATGAATCTAAAGAAACACAATTGTTTCACCATTTTCGTCCAAAAAAAAAATAAATAAAACGATCCTTTGCATTTAAAAGAACTGATTTACTTGACATACCAAATAAACACACATGTTTGATTGAACACTGAAAGACCGCTATATATGTCTTCATAATAAATGGTACTAAATGGTACTTGACATTAAATTTAACACTTCCCTCTCCAAGCCTAAGTCTGCGAATACAACCGTTTCCTTGCTCCTCGCCGCTATAGAGCGACGTTTCGAAACGTTAGTAGTGGCGATGAGCGAAGAAAGACGGCTGTATTCGCAGGCTAGTCAAAACCATTTGAGTAACTTGCCGGGTACTGTAAGTTGTTTGGTGCTCTCTGACACAAAGTAACTTAACACTAAATCTGCCTTTCAGTAATTAATAGCTGTCTTGGGCATCTTTTCTCGTCTTTATTGTGTCATCTAAAAATGCAAAATGTGTCTTTCAATCGAACAAAACACATAAAACCCAAGATCTCTCTGCAAAACAGAGGCAACTGCTATCATTCGTTCGATAGGATATATACTAGACTACATACTTGACGCAAAAAAGAAACTTAACACTAAATCCGCCTTTTAGCAAATGATATTGTTTCAACTTATTTAATATCGTCCCCAAATCGTCTACGTCTCTACTATCCACGAAAACCGAAGTACATATCCAATGTTCGTTGATCCGCTACGTAATATTTTGCGTAACCTTCTTGGTCTATGTACTCTTCTAAAGCTTTCGTGATCTGATCTAGCTCTAGGTCATCCAAATCACCCTCCAATCCTCTATTAAGATAGGCACTCGTATGCTTCTACATGACTTTGCTGTGACCTAGGTTAGATTTTTTTTATTCTTTCTTCTGAACTCGTTACCTTGGATTGATGGCGATAGGACGTTCGATACATTGCTTCATCTAAATATCGTCTGGAAATTGTCTAGTAGGACTCTATTTAGTGCTCCTTGACACAACATATCATTGAATGCACCTTTCAACTATATAAATATCGTCCTAAAATTACTTTCAAACACGAAAACATTAGATTGCCGAAAACATATCCAATGCTCGTTGATCCACGGCAGCAGTTTTCGGGACCCTCCTATAGTCTATGTACTCTTCCAAGGTTTTCGTTATCCAATCAAATTCTTGGTCGTCCAAAAAAGCACCCTCGTTATTCTTTGTTAAGATAGGCCGTCAATACTGTATGAGTGCTTCTACACGACTTTGCTGTGGCCTCTATAACATTTTTATCTTTTCCTTTTAACTCCTTGCCATTATACCATGGTTAAGGATGTTAATAAAAGAATATTAACTAGTAATCTTTACAGATGGTGCTTTTCCTTATCCTTTGTGTTTTGACCAACAACAGCGATGAAAGACAGCTGTTGAATCCCTTCTTTAACTTCTGCAATTACTGCAAATTAAAAAGGATAAATTTTAAGTTTTATCTCTTGAAATTTGCATTTGCCGTTAAACATATGTGGAGAAGGAATGCAACAAAGTACATGACAATGAAATGGTTGAAATATTATATTCTTTATAATACCTCCTTTAACAGTGATCATCATAGATGACAAAATATCGGTTTTTTTCTGGTTCGTTATAGTATCTAAAAAACGTTAATATCTGGTCTCAGGAACCGTGCCGAGAAACAGATAATAGTTTAAGGGGAATCAAAGTTACTATTCTTTTTCAAAAGCCACAAATTTCTGGTGATTCGCCTCTTTATAAATCGAGCTTGAATAGTTTTTCAGTCCTGGGAAAACGTTATCCACCAAGGCCCGAAAACATCCTCCTCAACATCTTAACATGTTGAGAGTTTACCTGACGAATTGTGCCCCTTCTTGTCCTTTTTCGTGGCTCTTGCTCGCTCGGTGTTGATGCATCTTTCAACATTTTGGCAGCGTTTTCTAGAGAAAAGGAATTGTCTGCGTTACATATAACCCCAGGACAGTGCAACAAACCACAATTTTATGAATCTACTACGCTCGTCGTTTCCATCGATTGTGAAGTCCGTATTCTGCGTGATATTTTACGTTAAAAATAATCGCAACGCCGTCTCCGGCATCTCTTCTCATATTTATTGTGTCATCTAATTAATCGAAAATGCGTCTTTCTACTGAACAAAACACAGAAACCCCGCGACCTCTCTGTTAGACAGAGGCAACTGTTACCATGCGTTCAATATGATATAGTAGACTATATACTACAAAAATAAATGATTACCTCGCATTTTCCTTTTCCTCTTAGCTGTTACTTTTGGGTTTTCCGAGTTTAAACTTGATTCCACCTCTAAACGTGAATGCACATTTATTTCATTCATAACTAGGGATTTATTTTGTCATTAACATGTTCTTATTACGTTTAGAATAAGTAGTTATGGGATAATTATGCTCTGTCTGGGGGACAAGGAACTGTTATTTCAATGCTTTTATTAGGTCGTTAAGTATGTATTTTTTTCCTCTTACTTTGGGGCCGAGGGATCTAAAAGAGAAGAAAATACATTGTGTTTCGTTCATTACCTTTTATTTCCTTCAGACACCAATCGTAGCAGTCTGATTTCCAATCTCGATAGGTATTTTTGGTCCTTTGTTTAACGATGATAATTGAAATTAAATTGTGATGGGTGAGCAAGAAAACGCTGATATAAAACATATGGGGTCTTTACCTTCGCTCATTTGTGCTAGCATCAAGTCATCAGGAGTCTACAAAGTTAAAAAAAAAAGATTCAGAATTATTCAATTTTTTATTCGCCGCTCCTGGTGATTGAGTTTCTCGTAGGAAACAGGGACTGTTTTTCATCGGTGAAATTTAAAAGTCTACAATTAGATTGTAACCACATATTTCCATTCATAGATATACTCAACCATTCCTGGAAAACTTACCACGGGATGTTCCTCATCGTGATTCTCTCTTAAATCAGCGCACGTACCTAATAAAAGATTTTACGAAATAGAAACTAGTCATTATTGATGTCATTTATCCAGCACCTCTACCAAAAGCATGTGGTGTAGCACTAATTGACTTTAGTTTGGCATATTTTTCCCTACACAGCATAAGTTCGTTACGAGTTTTTACAATACCTTCAGTATACCCGTCATTTTGCATTGGTTGCCTTTCATGTTCAGCTACGAGTAACGAAAACGAGATTAGTTTAGAAGGGAACGTTGTAGACGTTACCGAGCTCATTTAATTTCCTTGTATTTCCTATATACATTTTTAGAGGTAGTATTTCTGTTTCGTGGTCATAGCTATACTGGTGGCGGTTGTAATTATTAATAACAACTTAATTGATTGTATTTGGCAGTTTAGTATGAACTTGTGACTGCTGAATCGACCATTCTACATCTCACTAGATCGGGGAGATGGAGGAGATTCTTCAGGTGCATCGATGTCTTCTTTTTCCAAATGATTTCTACGTCCAAAACAATACACTTCTTGCGCGAGAGTTACCGATTGCATTTTCACGATGTTTATTGAAGAGAGTTTGGAGGTCGACGAAAAAATGATGGGGAAAACGACGATTCATAATTAACAGACGCCGAAAACTACGGACTTTAAAGTTTATATTGCACTCTCTCTTTATTATTATTTTTTCCATCACCATTAAAGTTCGCAAAGTTTTTTCACAATACCTTCACTTCCATCAATGTCTGTCGTCTCGCCTTCATTTTCCTGTGATTGCCCTTCATGTTCAGCTACGAGCAACGAAAATGAGATTATTTCGTATTTCTGTTTTTCAAAATGATTAATATCTTTAAGAGGTTTCTTTTTCAATTGTCTTAAATAGTGATTTTATCCTTGTCCTATCGCCTCAAAAATTTTACCAGTGATTGACTATGAATTAAGGTTTGTCTATAAATTCAGTTTTCATTAAAACCGATATCACTACGACAACAATAAACAAAAACCTTTAAAAGCCATTAAATCCGATTTCATCAGTGGAGTATCATCTTGCTCCGTTTTTTTTTTTTTTTTTGTTATATTGTGCTTTTCTTTTTACCCCCTGAAACGGATAAAACGTCTGCCACTTCTACTGTTTTACAACCCAACCCCTCCCAGATCTTCTCAGTTGCCGTCTTTTTCGAAGGGATTACCCTGCACCATTGTCGTCATTTTTTCGGATATAAAGTTGTGTCAATCAGAAAAGGAGAAATATTTTTTAATGAATGCTAATAACCAGCTCGGCTATAAGACACAAACCTTTCTCTCATCCAAAACTAACCTGAATTTCCAGTATTCCCGTTCACTTCGGAAGGATTTTGGGAGGCCTGCTTTCCAGATTGTTCTATCAATAAATAGGGTGGCAGGGGGATCAATATTAGTAAAAACTTGTTAGATGTCCTTTTTTTTACAAACTATATATTTATGTATCTTCCGAATTTTGTACGGCCGATACCGGACATTAATGGGCAAAATCTGTACCAGTTTCAGACCAAAAAGGCGCAAAAAAACGTCACAGGGCGGCACATACCTATATGGCCGTCTATAAGGAAGTATCCCCCTCCCGTTATAGTACACTACATGGAAACCCCTCAGACAGTGCACACATTAATTTCAGCTAGACCCATATTAAGTGGCCAGATTGCCCACTTTTTTATTCGCTCAAATTTGCTTTTACAGTTGTGTAACAAAGATTATTACCTTCATCTAACTTTGAAAGAACGTCAACATCAAAAAAAGACCTTGAAAAATGGGAGGCGTTCCTTTTCCCATTTGCGAAGGTTACCTGTTTCCCATTGCAACCTTTCAGTGAATGGAATATGCAATTTCGAATGGCTGCACCAGTCACTGTAGTCATTTGGGGCTGGTTCTTGGCAATGTAAGCTGCTAGGTCGTTGGACGAAACAGCTATAGACTCTCCACAAGAACAACCAGACGGCTTTATCTTCGGTATGATGAACGTTCCACATAACTGAAATTAATTAAATACAGGGAATAAAATATCAGTCGCCCACGTCTATATCTTCTTTACCGTTTTTGTGACTGGTGAACATATGTCTATAATTGTAATTTACACAATGGAAAAAACTTTTCTCTCACAGCCAATAACGTTGTTCTTTTTTTTCACTGAGCCCTTTTTTGTTTGAGTTAAGTCTTTCACTAGAACTGGCTTGCTAAAAAATGAAATTGCCTATGCATTGTAATGATGGTCAAATATGTTGAATTACTACAATTACCGTTACGTGTTTTTCTACCACCAAGAGTTTCGACTCCGAACTCCCTTATCAACTTACTAAGAATAAAAAAAAAAACATCTTAACTTAAGGAAAAGAGCAATCCCTTTATTAAAAATATTTGACAGTAATTGACAAGCTTTAAGCGTCCCTATTACCTTTCGTACTTCTCCTCGGGACGCCATTTGCTTTATGGCTTCTTTGATAGCAAGCCCCACTTCTTCTGTTTTGGCAACGGACCCGCCAGCACCTTTGGTCTTCGTTCTCGATGTAGACTTATCCCTCGTAGAAGAATATCCCGGCAGTACCACATTCTTGAGGCACTGCCACACAGTTGTCATTTCCTCTTCCAATTTGATTTTTTGGAGAATCTGACAAAGAAAATGTACATTATTCAAGTAACACGTGCAAGGTGTTAAACCACGAATCGTTGCGGTTAATCAGAAATCGAAGTTTTGCTTAACAGCTACCCAGTGAGCAGGCTCACTTGTGTAAATTCGGCGATATAGGGAGAGTTGTGAACGAGCGCATCCGATTATTAGCACTTTTCGATTGTTTAGAATATTTATTACCATGGCAATGAAGACAAATTAGCGTCAATTTACTTTAAAGGTATGTCTTGACAAGGTTGACTTAAGAGCTATTAGATAGTGTTGAAATACATCGCGATCCAGCTAGACTAGAAAAGCACGCTTTTAAGATGATGGAAAACTACAATACCCTGTACGTCTCACCCCAAAAAGTTAATTACAACTAGAGATACAATCTTTCTTTCGCTCGTTTTTTCCAATAAAGGTCAAAACTTTATATTGAACTTGACATTAAATTTTACACTTTCACTCGTCAAAACCTCAACCTGTGAACACAGGTGTTTCCTTGCTTCTCGCCGCTAGGGGTGTTTCGAGACGTCCCTAGCGGCGAGGAGCAAAGAAGGACATCTGTATTCGCAGGCTAGTCAAAACCATTTGAACAACTTGTCTTCTGTATCTGGTTTGGTGCTCCTTGACAGGAAATATCATTAAAACCGCTTTAGACGATATTGTTTGAATTATCTAAATATCGTCCCAAAATTACCTTTGAACAAGACAACATCAGAATGGAGTACATATCCAATGCTCGTTGATCCACACAGCAGTTTTCCGGACCCTCTTGGTCTATGTACTCTTCTAAGGTTTTCGTGATCTGGTCAAACTCTTCATCGTCCAAAGCACCCTCGAATTCTTTGTTTAGATAGGCCGTTAACACCCATATGCTACGAGATGACTTTGCTGTGGCCTCCATTAGTTTCTTTTCTTTTCCTCGCAACTCCTTGCCGCTGTACGATGGCGAAGGGCGTTCAAATGGGATTCGTATCCATCTTGAAAGTACTCTGTTGAAACACCACAAAGAAGCTGTTAGTGCACTCTAGCAAAGTGTACACAAGTAAGCAACGCTATATATTCCGGCAATCAACTAACAATGTGCCTTAAAATATATTTATATACCCTTTAACTGTACTGTCCTTGTATGTAATTGATCCCCGTGAAAATCTATCCATAAGCAGATCGAAATCGCTTTTTTTAAAATCATCGGATTGTTTGCCCGCATATCAAGGGTTTGCTATGTTGGAAATTACACTTTCGCACTAAGTATCCTCAAAACCGGAAGAGTCGCACTCTCTTTTCGGCATTCTTTTATTTTAGAGTACTTATTATTGCTACTTACTTCAGCTCGTTTGTGTCTTGATTCGTAGTTATTATTGGGATTGTCCTGGGCCTTGAACGTCCCCTGACAGTCGTATCAGCACCCTATAACCAGGTAAATAATTAAAATTTAAAAAAAATAAAATAAAAAGAACTTTAACATAACAATGTTAGATCAATCGACCATAATAAAACAAACTCAACGCAGAAATGGACATTAAAAATAAACAATTACCTTATTGAACACGGCCACTGACACCTCTTTCATCTCCGCATGCTTCTCCGGGTCGTCCCACCCGATTGGAAGTGTTGTCTTCGACAACAATTCCATAATTCCTTTAAACGTTGTCCCTAGGAATTATTATGGAAATGTTGGTAGTTAAGAATATATCTATATAAATCAGATATAAGCTTACCATTTCAGCTAGTACACGCGCACAACGTTCTATTTTTTCAGTTCTGTACAGTGAATAATGCCGAAATGATCATTACATCGAACACCGACGATTGTAATCCATCTCTAGGTATTTCCAAAGCATTTTTTTATTTGGTATGTTGGCATTGGCATTTGCATTGTGCTCGAAAAGTGCAAGCAGTGTCACTGGTTGCCCCTGGGGGGCTTGGGGTCTCAGATACCCTACCCCAGTTTAGTCTATTCTGAGGTAATTTATAGCTCAGGTGAATACCAGGTGCTACCCCCATACACATACAAGACTAAACTTCCAAAAATGCCTTCCCATCCCAGGGGTACGCTTTTTTTTAGACATAACCGAGGACGATCCTCCCTTTGCTTGAAAAAGCGGGTGATTTCTCTGTAATAAAGACCAGTGGTTAAGCATGTCTCAGACACTAATGATAAGAAAGAAAGAAATCACTTACGCTGAATGACGTCGTTTTGTCCAATTACTGACAATGCTGCTTTGAGGACTGTAGTTTTACCCGACATGGGATGTCCATATAGGACTCCCATGGCACATCCACCTAGGATGGACTGGATAGTCTCGAAATTTGCCCCCATACCGACACAACCAAGTGTAAGAACCGCCTGTCCAAAATTATTGCTCGTCAGGTCCTTAAGGGCACATACCAAATTTTTTAATGCAGTTCCATCGTCAACATCTGCAATAATCCATTCATGCAGGACCATACAAATTAGTAAAGAAAGGTGACTAGCCATGAAAGGGTTGCGAAGAAATTTGAGTAAAGTAGTTTACACTGGTGAAGAGGGATTTTTGGCAGACGAAACATTTTGAATGTGTCCAAATCGTGAGGTACTGTTTTTTTTTTTAGTGCCAGTAAGATGTAATAATTGTCTTTGCCTATCCGGGAGAAGTTTGTTGTCAATAGAGAGAAGAAGCGTGTCGTCACGTTGCCGACATGGATCACCCGCTCTATGGAATTGTTGAACACTGCGCAAAAAAAAAATTATTTTCCTTTTTCTACATTCAGATGCGGTACTTTCGGAGTCAACCCTAGAGAATAAGATCAGTGAACGTTTTCGGTTTGTTGTCATCCAAAAATTCTGCTATCACGGCAACGTGACGTAACGATATCCCCTCTCAGAGGTGTGATCTGCGTTACTCACCAGTCAAATTGGGAACATCTAGTATCTTCTCGTCATCGAGGATGACAAATTGTCGATCACTTGGAGGAATTAGCGTTCCTTGACTATTAACTTGCACATTACTGTTAAAAACCCACACATCGCTGTCTTTCTGTTTTCCCACGATCTAGTTCGAGAGAACATGAACGTAAAATAGATCGATAGTTCGATGTATGAAGACTGATCAGGGAGATGGATGGATCAGGGAGATGCATTTTTGGCTATATATAAGGCAAATTTTGGGAACGCAATTTTTAAAAAAATTATATGGATGAAGAGAACAGATATCAAAACCTGTTATAGATAGTCGTTGGGTGACCCGAAGGGTGCCCCTGACCTAACGAAAGATGCAGAAATGAAGAGACTTAGAGTAGTCTTAGCATAGGGGAGTACCCTCCTGGTCGTTTTGAAAGGGATTTGTTATGTCATTCTAACGTAATCCGATAAGAGACGGTTAGTATTACCAGTATGCAATGGCTGTGTGAAAACACCCAAGCACAGTGTGAGCGACGAGCGTGGTTTGCAATCCGGCTGGCTGATACGAACTAGACGGAATTTTAAGGGAAAAAGCGGACTCATGTTAATTTGAGAAGTTACCGTCTCAGATTAGTTGGCGACAGACGAACACATTTTTGATTGGATTCAAATGAGTAATCCTTTCCAAAACGACTCATATGAAGATTGGGCAAACCCAGGTAACCATAAACAACTTATTGTTTTACTAAGCGTTCGGTTTTGACGTAAAGCTACGTAACGTTGCGACTTCTCTAGCTTTGTTTAGAATGTGATGTACTCTGATTCCTAGTCGAGAAACTTCCGATATGTTTGTTGTTGCTGACGGTAAACTTAACATCTTCAAAATAAAGAGATAGTGCATCTATTTCAAAATAACATTTCTGGCCTCTGAAAACTAATGTTATCAATGATAAACTTAAACGGATACTTCTACGTACATCGACTTTATATAAAATCACAAAAATAAACGGGCGACCACACAATCTGTGTGTGTGTAACAGATTGTGATATTTTACAGTAAATGTACTGGACTTACCGTTTGCTTCACCTATAGCCTGCGTGGCCGGCGTTTTGAAAGGGAAGGGAAAGGGAGTTTGGGGAAAGGGAGTCTTAGGCGCGAGAGAAACGCTAGGGGCGCCCAAACCTCCCTTTCCCTTCCCTTTCAAACGCCGGCCACGCAGGCTAGCTTCACCTACAGCGATATATCGCTACGCATGTGGATAAATCAATGTTAAATAAACATCCTTCGATATCGCTCAAAAAACCGCATTTGAGGCAAAAGGAGGACAATATACCACAGGTAACGTACTTCACCGTTTATGTAACATTGATCTATATAGATCTATAAGCAAACGGTAAATCAAGTACATTTCAATACTATAAAATAACAATCGGTTACAAACACATATTGTGTGGGCTCCCTATTCAAAGTTTATTGGATAACAATTCTTGTCACGCACGTGATAATTCGGAAATGCAATGCTGTTATTTGTCAAAATGAAAAAAAATGCTACGGGGATGAAAAGTTCTACAAACATTTCTTTCTCGGTGACCTTGAACTGGAAGACAACACATCAGAAGGTCTTGCTATTTCGATAGTGGAATTCGATGACAACACCGCCTATATTTTACCAGACCGCAGATATGTTTAAAAATTGACTTTTTCCTTTTGCGTGGTATCAACATAACACTTCATGATTTTAGAAACAATAAGTCCAAGTGAAACGCGGAACTTTACCGAAATATTCAAAATATCATCTAATGGGTCTGATGGAACCAAATGAGATAAGGCGAACGGCTGCGATTCAGTCTTGAAAGTTATTTTAGACGATGTACCAATGATCAAGCTACGAAATTCCCATGGGGGCCATCGGTCGACCAAAATATGGTACAGTGGAACCCCGTTAATACGGTCACCAATGGGCCGAAAACAATCTGGCCGTAATTCCGTTTTTTTTTTTACAAGAAAATGTATGGCAGTTTTTTTCCAGGCGGCCAAAAAAGTGGCCGTATGAGGTGGCCGTAAGGCGGGGTTTCACTGTATTAATGTTAGTGATTATATGAATAGGGCATTACACTCGGCATAAAAAAAAGGAAATGTTGCACGTGATGAACTTACTTTTACCGGCGTCATTTTTCGACGTTCCTCCCGAGGCCTTTTCATGTACTCTCTGCACATTCTGTAAATGTACGGAGGTAAATACGGATCCTGAGGATTGAAAGGATGCGTCCAAATGCCATCACTCTTCAGGGCAGAGACGATAAGTTTATGATCTGAAAGGATCTTGTTGGACAAGAAGTATTCCCTGCAAAAGAAAGAAAAAGGAAAAAGTGTTTTGGACACAGTATTTATTTCGATCAGAACAGCCTAGACAGTATAATTAGTAATCTTCACGATACTACTAATTATACTGAAAAAGAAGGATAAGCTTGCTTTTACCTTGTAGTTTGAGAACTAGACTCATCTTCTTCCGATACATTAAGATGTAATTTGGCCAGATATCCGGTGATGATGTCTCCCTCAGTGACATACCCTGGTATAATATAGTCAAAAAATTATGCAAAATTATTTGTGAATTAGCATCTTATCTGACCGAGATTTTTTTTATTCAGCTACTCCTAAGGTAGTTTCACTTTTCAAATCTTCTTCCAAATTAAAATGTTACCTTTATTCTTTCCTACGGTTACGTTGAACTCATAAATTATACTTTCATACACAAAGGTGAGCGCTTTTCAAGTAGCCTTGTCTGAGTTTATTCATAAAATATTAAAATGTTAAGCACCCATTGCAAGTGACAAGTTTCTCCATTACTTATCGTTTACTGTTAATTATTTCTACTCATTAAATTAGTATTTTAACTTCATTTTTTTTCCATTAGAATTGTCTTGGGCTGCAATGTACGTGAATCTTAATCTCTTTGCAAATTCAGCCAAAATATTTTTATAATTTAAGCCACAATATCTTTATAAAACATCACTAAATATTATAATATTATAGACAAGAATGTAGGCGTACGATTATTTTTTATTTTCGTTTACGGTGATCGAGCTGTAGTTAAGACAGTTAACTGCCGGGTCGTTGTGACAAAACTATAATGGTACTACAATTGCAAATAACATACCTGTTATTGAAACGGTAAAGTTAGTCATAGGGTAGAAGCCATCGTTGCGTTCGTAACCGATACAACAATCTTTCTCTATTAACTTTTTGGGATCGGTCCCTTGACTGTCGGGGGTTTGACTGTTTTCTCCTACCTCTAACAAGTCCATCGCTGAAATGGTATTGCCAGTTAAAAGTACCTCTAGTTTTACCTACTTCACTTGCGTAATTTTCGATATAAGACATATAACAGGAGCAACAGGAAGTCCTCCCAGACATCTTCCAGTTGCTCAATATGCGGGGTGTTCAGTGTTTTTACGATTTTGCACGTGCTTTTGAGAAGGAAAGATAGAATTTTAAAAACTAACATAGGGAGCTAGTATAGGGTAATAAGTATACACCTTTTATTCAAGCATATTTTTTATTTATTGTATCTTGTCTGATAATATGTTAAAGAGCGGGATTGGGGAAACAACTTGCACACAAGATTGTCAGTCCAAGTATATGCGAGGGAGGCTTTTTACTAATCCAGCTGAGTTGATCGCGTCACTGTATTACCCAACAGCAGCTTTTTCTATTGTCTCCTTTTGACAAGTATTGGTCCCCCTATGTGCTTTTGACTATGACATTTTACTTTTCACATGTCAAGCTCAAGAAAGAGACTTACAAATTGAAAGTAAAATAGAATCACCAACATTTTTCGAATACGAGTCGTCATCGTCACTCTTGTCGATGGTACATCTATGTAGATGACTTGGAATGGCAAACAATTAACCAATAATATAAATGCACATAGACCGCTCTAAAATCCTGACGTTGAAGTTAGAATATAATCATGATAAAATAGGTTTTTATCCATGTTCTTATTGACACTTTTTGCTACAGGTTTTGTTGGAGTGAAGAGTTGTGAAGATCATACTGTTGTCCGATTTAGTTGATGTCATTTGCCATGCCATAAAAATAAAAATTTGAAGACACTTCCCTCTCTACTACTACATGTATTGCCTAATCTTTTCACAGGCATGGACGACAGGAACCCTACTTCAGAGGAGAGGCCCCCATGGGAGATTTTGTACAAAAGAGAAGTAACTCCTTGTGTGGTCAAATTTTGTACAAGAGTTGTCCATGGAAGAAAGAGGACCAAATATTTTCCTTCAGTTGGTGTAATGACTATTGCTTTCTTTTTCACAGTTTCTTTTTTAAGATGGACTTTTGGAATTTTGGAATTGTGCAATGTACGATTAATGTTCGGCTATAACGTGACAATAGCCCAGCGTCTCCACTCGGAGTAATTTGACATCAAGATATGTTCTATCTCATAGCAGGAATTTCAGAACTGTGTAGCGAAATTGTGAAGAGGAGGAGTCCATAAAATACAATAAAAATTCAATGAAACTCCCTAAAGAGGCCTGGTTATGATCATTTCTTTTTATCTAGTTATTGATCTATCTAAATGTCTATCTTAGTTTTTCTTGGCTACTAATGAATCTACAACTACTCTGTAAAAGAAAATTCAGAAGGCGTTAATTAAAAATGTGCACTATTGGAGGGTCACAGGAGGGGGACCACAGGAAGGCTATCTTTGTTTTCACGCACCATTTTATCCACCCAGAGGAATTATTTACTGGATTTTAAATGACAATCTTAGAGTTGATTTTCACTGTCGAAAATAGAGGCAATGCATTAACGGTCGCACGTAAACGTAACAGAAGAACCTCGCTCAACTTCACGTTTAATCTCAACACTTTATATCTTGCCTCTATTTTATGAACGTGATTAAAATTCATGTGTGTTTATGTGCAGAGCCAAGAACGCGTCAGTGGAAATCAACCTCTAGCGACCATGCGTTTAAAGAAATGACCTCTTACCAAATACTTAGTGAATTTATTTTGGTAACAAGCAATTTTCGATTACGAAACGAGTGTTCATCTTCCCGACCGCAACAAGACTCCAAGCCCAGCCGTGGGAGGTGTTTTGACAGCAAGATATTAAGTTATAATTTTAGTTTTCCTTGTACAAGAAACTCCTTACGTTTGACAAAATTGTGTAGAGGTGTTAAAAATAAATGTTGTTTGTGATAAAAGGGAGTCTTTTTTATTTCGACGACTATTTTTACTTTTTTTTGGAAAAAGTTATTTTGTATGATTTTGAAATTGCGAATTGAGCGGTAAAGTGACCTGACATCTCATCCTTCACACCACCCAGGGGCAGGCCAGCACTGACAGATAATTTTGACCATGCAAAAAAAAAAAAAAACTTTTAACTCACATCAGCAATATTTGTTGGCTAGGTTATATAAAAGAGTTGTTCTTTCTTTTGAAGAAGGAAGGCCATGATTGGTGTAATGACTGTTGTTTCCTTTTATTTTCCTTAGTAAGAAGTGATTTTGAAATTGCGAAATGAGTGAATGTGAATGAGTTATTTTCCAGCTGAAAGGTAATTAACTTACCCCCCCAACGATCCGATAATTATATAATTGTCGTCTGAAAGAAAGTACTGCCTAAAAACACCTTGATCTTGGAGCAGGTCCAATGAAGCTTGTCTTTACTCATGGTAAGTGTACTTAGTTTTTCTTGCCTACTAATGAATCTCAAATTAAACAATGGACAAAGAAATTCCATGCAATCGGCCAAAAAATGAACCAAAGAAATTTTATCGACAGGATCAGTGTAATAACTACAGTCGAGTCCCGAACAATGGTTCTTTTCTTAATTTTGGCTATTTTCTTTGAGCTCCCGATAACTCGAACTGTTTTCGATTTTCGTTGAAGGTTCAGCTGAAAGACCAATTTTATAGTCGGAGATGCCAGTTGACAAGCGCACCCACCCCCTCCCCCCACTTGCGGGAGGTAGAGTAAACTTACGGGGTTATGTGAGGGCTAATTTCAACAAGCTTTATACGGGGGTAGTTTCGTTTTCACGACTGGAATGACAATAATGAGGTCGCATTTTCAACAGTGTTACTAGAATGGGCTCGGATATTTTCGGATTTTTTCAGGGTAGGACAGTTCTTCATATTTACGGTTAGCAAACGTACCAGAATGTTTGTGTTGTACATGAAAAATAAAGTGTGCTTCATTCAATCTAAAAAAATGGGTCAATTCATAACAATATAAAGTGACTAAGCTGGAATGGCGAGAACTATGTACATATTTGCCCAAAAGTGACTAAGACGGGGTCTATAATTGGCCACAGGATGGACTGTGATGGGGTAGAGGCTCTGAGACGGCCGGTAGCATATACCCAGCAAAATTAAGGCAAGTACCCTCTTCCCGGGATTCATCCCTGGGACTAACTTCACGAATCATGAGCCTATAAAAGTGTAGGGACATGACATGTCAAAAGGACCTGAAAGGATGCGTTTCATTGTCATTCAGTTTCATTTCATTTTTCACTTCACTTAAAGGAATTGTATAGGAGCCGCTCGTAAAAGGTGTCTCCTAACTGCTCACAGGAAACAATGAAATGTAATCCTTTCAATTGTTTTAGAATTATTTGGGGTCAGGGTTACGCACCATTGGGGACGTCTCTTCCGAGCTGTGCTTCATGTTTCACCAAACGAGTATCAATCCCCAGGGGGGGGGTACTTTAGGAATTTCTGATTGGGGATGTGCCGCTGGGAGGCTGGAACCCTTAACCTTACCAGAGCTAGTTCAGCTGAGTTTTGCTACACTGTACTGGAGTAAACTCCCAAATCCCCCATCCTAGAGTAGCTGTGTACCTAGTCTAGATAAAATCTTCAACCAACTGACCAGTTTCCTGAAAAATGATACCCTATTCTAGAGCCAAACGCTC